CTGGAATCCCTTGAGATCCTTGGCCTCCTTTAGTTCCTTGGGATCCTTGAAATTGTTGAATTCCTTGGGAGCATTGAGATCCTTGAATTCCTTAGAATCCTTGAATTGCTTGGGATCCTTGAATTCCTTGGGATCCTCGGCTTCCTTGGGATCCTTAAGTTCCTTGGGGTCATTGGGATCCTTGAATTCCTTGGCTTCATTTGGATCCATGAATTCCTCGGGATTCTCGAATTCTTTGGAATCCTTGAATTTCTTTACGCTATGTTGTGCTGTAGTTCCTTAGTGCTCGTGCGTATTGAATAATATTGGAGTTCAAGAATTCCTCAAGAGTTCGGACTTCACGGAATTCGGACACTACTGTTCGACGTATAGGAATCTTTCTTTTCGAAACCCAACGGTACAACTGACGTGCTCTTGACTCACATATTCAATTCAAAAACTGAGGCTAACATCTGATAACCTTCCCTTCTAAGATTCTAATGCAATGGTTTGAAGCTTTTGTAGAACTTTCTCTAACTATCCACTTCAAAACTACGCTTTTTAAATTACATATAAAACTCAATTGTAGAAAGTCCCACATTCCAAAGATGTGCTTGAATCTTCTCAGGTTTTTTTTTAGTTTAGGAGTTTCACATAGTTCATTATTTTATTCCATAAGATTCTGAATTTTCCAAATTTTGAATAAAATCTCCAGATCTCCATATTTTTCTCTCGACAGCTTGCATGGAATTAGCAATGTTCCTTCTCGAAAAAATCTCCTTACAGCAATCTCATGGTGACGTTTTTCGGGTCAAAAAGATCTTGGTAAGAAATAGAAGTAACACAGATGTAAGAATCGTTACGAAATCCTTTTTTTCATAGTAAACTAGGAAAAGACTTCTGAATTTTTCTCTCCGAAAAGAATATTCTCGAAAGTTTTACCTAATTCTCTTCCAAGAAGACGTATGTCTCCTTTATAGCTCTTTCCGATGCGAAAGAGGGAGAATCTCTTCGACAATGACGATTCCTTTTCTTTTTTGTTCATTATATTCATTCCTAATATTCCAGCCAATGCCCGATGGAATCAGAGTGGAGTGACCGTTGCTGGAGGTCATGGAGGAGGCAATGCCACCAATCAACTGAGCGCGCCTCGTGGTCTCTTCGTTGATGACGATCAAACGATGGTCATTGCTGACTGGGCCAATCATCGTATCATCCAATGGAAGATGGGTGATACGAATGGACAAATAGTAGCTGGTGGCCATGGCTCAGGAAATCAATTGGATCAATTGTTTTTTCCAACCGATGTATTGATTGACAAAGAGACGGATAGTCTCATTATTTGTGATTCAGTGAATAGACGAGTCGTACGATGGTCTCGTCGTAGTGGTACAACTCAAGGAGAAATCCTTATCGACTACAGCATTTGTTGGGGATTGGCCATGGATTATCAGAGATATCTCTACATCTCTGACGACTTTAAACATGAAGTAAGACGATATCAAATAGGAGACAAGAATGGAACTATTGTGGCTGGTGGCAATGGCGAAGGTGCTGGTCTCAATCAACTCAACGACCCGAGCTACATCTTTGTCGATCAAGAACAGACTGTTTACGTGTCAGACGGTCAGAATAATCGTGTAATGAAATGGAATAAAGATGCAAAAGAAGGAATTGTTGCCGCTGGAGGTCAAGGCTATGGGAATGCTCTGACACAATTGTCGTTTCCTGAAGGACTGTTCGTTGATACATTGGGTACCATCTATGTGGCAGACTTGTTGAATCGTCGAGTGATGCGTTGGCCTAAAGAAGCGAAACAGGGCACTGACATCGTAGGTGGAAATGGTTCGGGGGAAGGAGCTAATCAATTCACCAATCCCATTGGTTTATCCTTTGATCCACATGGCAATCTCTACGTCGTCGATAGTGGGAATCATCGTGTTCAACGCTTTTCTATCGAATAGACTCATTACGATGGATTTTTTTTTCTTTCCTTTCTCTTAAATAAATCGCGTTGAATTGATGAAATGAATGTCTCTTCTATTCGCGCGCGCGCGACCAGGAACCATCTTGGTCGGGTCGTGGCGAGCGTAATGCTCATGTACACACGGGACAGACTCAAATCATTCATATCCCTCCCACTCGAGACGTATGTCAATGAATCTGAATAAGCCCGGTCGTGTGCCACGGACACCAAGATAGTTCCTGGCCGAGCTTTTAGGGACTACTCGGAAGTTCTTCATAGAAGACAAAACCCTAACACTCAACGAACAGAACCCATCCTCCTCAATCTGTCTCTCTCTTATTCTCATCACAAAAAGAGAAAAAAAAATTACTCACCATGTTTGATGTTGAATGATGACGTTGTTGATGATATTGATTACTAAAAAGAGAAAAAAACTTAATTAATGTTACTTGATGAAAAAGAACGAGATGACTTACTCCACCCGTTACCTTTTTCTTCACTGTCCAACGCCTAAAATGAAAAAAAAACAATACATAAAAAAGGTCATAGGAGAACTTACCACCCTCCATATGATTCAAAAGAATAAGTAAAAAGAATAAAAAATAAAAAACTGATACCTACATGTTCTTCTATTGTTCGATGTTGAATTGAATAATTTTGCATCGTGGAAGCTAACCTAAAATATAAAACAAAATAATTATTATTTGATTCAAATAACTGAATGACTTCTTCGAAGAAAATCATTCACTTTTATACCCCTCATAAATTGTTGTTTTTCTTGGGGGAGAATATTCATTATTGTTTTTCTTGTCGCAAAAAAAATCAAACGTCGAGTTTAATTAAGCTTTAATCTTTTTTTTTTTTTTAATATATAGTTTATTGTTCCACTAGGGTTAACAAAGAAAAAATCACATAATTATATAAACCTCTAAGAAGATAATGATAAGGAAAAAGGTGAGAAGTGCATGTTACAGAGGTTGTCTCTTTTTTCTCACAGTACATTTAATGGAAGTTACAATATTTTTTTTATCTTTACATAGATATCAGAGATATTAAAGATAGATAGTGACACACACAAGGAAAAAAAAAAGAAATTAGAAACAAGTATCACAATAGTACAAGAGATA